AAATTAATAAAAAAAAGGGGTTGCAGGTTTTTTTTTTGGCAGTTTTTTATGAAATTTTTTTTTTTTTTTTTTTATAATTTTCCTTTTTTTAAAAATTTTAAAAATAGAGAGTGTTTTAACCCCCCTCCCCCCCCCCCCCCCCCCCGGGCCTGAGGCCCTGCGCTAGTAACATTTTCACATTGACGGTAGTACAAAATGCTGTTATGTTATATTCATTAGCGCACGGCCTTCGTTATTATCTGCATTATTTCTGCACATATGACAGCTTTGCTGCCTTGATTTTCTACTGTGTTATTTTTATCTCAAAATTTATGGCTAGTTTGTTTAATATCAAGCAACTTCTTTTTCACATTATAATCACTGCGTTCTAATCTCCTGCAAGATGCTGTGCAGATGACGTCACATGCAATTAACTTCATACAATGACTGACCAACACAAACTACTTATGACGCTATTTTGTTGTACAAAACGAAGATGTTTTGCAATCTGCTGGTACAATTCAGTGTGTGTGGATTAGATTAAATTCTATGGCAGTATAAAATGGAAGATAAAGCGCTTTTTCAGGGTTTGGCCGCTCATCTCTGCTGTGAACAAGGCCGCCATAGCATTATGACGTAACGTTAAGACAACGTCACACACAGCGCATAGGAAACGTAAGCTCTTCTCTTACTTTTCGTTTCATATTTGTGTTAACATACGTTTACAGTTAAATGTTTACAGTTGGGTTAAACTTTGTTATTTTCATGATGACGGCATTATTTTTTGAGCCATGAATACTGCTCTTATTATAGCTAAGAATGATGAAAATGAGTTTAATAATGAAGTGTATACGTCACAGAATTTCGTCGTTTACGTCACACAGCAACTGGAAAACACAACTGTATAATAACGTAACGAACAACGTTTTTGTCGTAACGCTCGCGACCGTTTTGTTTATTTTAGTTACTCAAATATTTCGTAAGGTTGGGAACTATTTTTTATTGTTTTATCAGGATGCTGCTATCAACTTGTGTACATAGTGAGTCTAACTGCAAGATAGACGGTGTGAAACGCAATGTTGCCTTTAAAGGCGATGCTGCGATGGAAGAAAAGGGCGCAGGAAAGATTAAAACAATGAAAATCACGAACAGATCAAGATCGGCCCCTGTGAAAAGAGCAGCCAGCGGTAAAGAAGAAAAGGGTGGGAATTCCTCAAACCCGAAACTCTGTTGGCAGAAAAAACGTAAAGGTTGGTTAAAGATAATATAATAATCAATTAGAAAAAAATGCTCTTGGTCCATAATTAAACAATTACTAAGGTAAGCTTTCTAATAATAATAATAATAATAATAATAATAATAATAATAATAATAATAATAATAATAAAAATGCTTATTTTTAACGAATGTTGTTGGATATTTAAATAATTAACACAAATTAATACTCTTTCTAAATGCATTAAGTAAAATCATATAATCAAAGTGTTTAAATGAATTAACATGATATTTGGTACAGTATTCCAGAAAAGTCTCATTCAAATAAATTTTCTCATTATTGAACTCAGACCCATTCGAAAATGTCCCGACTTCTTTGGAAATCGCAGCAGACGAATTCAGTTCCGCCCGCAGCCCGGGTCTGTCAGCCACCAAACTCTTGACACGTGTCAATCACATGCTTCCCTCTGACCTCATTAGAATCGGGGCCAATGTCAAGTCTCGATGGCGGGAAAAATGGAAGGAGGAAAAGAAGCGACAACGAAGAGAACTGAGGGAGAAGCAACTGGTAAGTCAAAATTTCAACTCAATCATTATAAATAATTTCTACAAGTTTTTGTGACATTTTCGTCCAAAAATACAAGCTGGCTGGATAAATGGAAGAACGGTGCAATTAATGAACTGCAATTGCAACGGATATATAAAGTAAAGCTCAAAGGTTCAAGGTAAACTTGAATTAAAAATAAATGTGTAAATAACATTTATTTAGAGGGTAAAAACCAAACATGTCCAATAGGCATTACAAGGAAAATTACAAGTTAAATAATTGGTAAACAAAATTTAACTTATTGTGAGAGGTTATATTTTATGTACTCCGAGGTCAATTGATGACCTTGGATGGCCTTGGATGACCTTGTTCGTTTCAGTAGCAATTTAGTAATAAGAACTTTTCCGAGCAGCAGTGGAGACTGATGGTGATAAAACTTGGATTTCTCCCCCCCCCCCCCCCAAAAAAAAAAAGTAAAAAAGGTCTCAAGTTCTGAGTATGTTTTTCTTATGTAAACAAAATATTATTGCAGCAGTTCAAACATTATGTACGTGGTGTTGCTTATCGCAAAAAAATGTAACATTTTATCGGAAGTCGTAACTGCTATATACACGAGAAAGAGAGAGAGAGAGAGAGAGAGAGAGAAGATAAAGCGAGATAAAGTCATGCCTACAGAAAAAAAAAGACAAGTTGCCCTCCGTTACAGAAGTCTTTTTTTTTCATGGCAACCCTCTTCATTCATATTAATCCCCATCATTTATTTGCATTGGGACTATAATGCACATTAATGTGGTATTTCAAATGTTCCTCCATCTCAGGTTTATTTGCTTTAAGATTGCGGGATACGTTAATAAACAGTCTGAAGCAGATGGCTAATAAAGGACATTTAATAGAATTGCCTTGCCATTCTACTTTACATTTCTGAATTGCCATTGACTTATAGAGGTGCCAGGATCGAGAGTATTATAAGACAGAAAAAGTCGTTGATGTTTTCCACTTTGTATTCTTGACTGCTCTGTGTTTAGTAGTGAAGTGTTGAATATGAATGACGCTCGCCCGATAAAGATTATGTTTTCATGTAAGCAGAGCTTCAATTAATGTTTGTTTAATGTTATTGCCACTTGAGATTTGTGTTATTGCTACGGTAAAGAGTATGACAAGACTTAAGTCGTGTAAATATTTCCTTTCTTTCTCTCGAGTCCGTTTTACATGGCGAAAATCATTATAAATGTTCGTCACTTTAATCTCCTGAAAAAAGTCAGAAGTGGCAGAATGAGATTAATTCTGAAAGTTACAGGTTAATGTGAAATTTATGAAGACGGAGAGGGCAGCGCGTTTGTTGTGTAACCGATTAACTGGAGCCACACGAGGATTAATTACTGAATTAAGTGCGGTTTGATATTGTTCGGGACTAAAATTGCGTTGTCACGCAGCGTTGAGCAACAACATGGACGTCTTGCTGCTTCAGCTAGGGGTAATTATTCTCTCTCTCTCTCTCTCTCTCTGGTTTTGCACGAAATTGCTTTAGATAATTTAATGTTATCCAGCGAATACACGGGACGTAGACATTCACGGGGAAAAAAGATAATACATTCAGTGTCACTGAATTCTGCACAGTGCTACGCCAGAGTTTCACGATATCTAAATATCTTAATATGTGAAAAGATGACAGATTGTCGGTGTTAATTTTATTTGTTTAATTTAAAACGACCTCTCGTCCCTGTAGACAAACAGATTCTTAACCCTTTAATCATATTCGACGTAATTCAGCCAGATCATAAATGATGTTCTGAATACGGTATTATCCTGTCAACGCAGTTATGGACGAGACTGATAAAGAATTTAATTAAATGATACTGAAGTTATGGACTTTAAAGACAGGTAGCATGTTTACCAAGGCAGTGTGAGAAGATCCGTTTAAAGACGCGCAATCCCTCATCTGCTGTATTTATCGGCCGTGTCCAGGAGCGACGCTCTCATTGCTCCAATAACAAACTGACAGTTAAACAGCACCTTTTTCTTTCGCGAAAACCATTTTTATACATTTTCTGGTGATAAAAGGTGCGTTTTATTTCCTTTCTTTCGTCGGATGTTTTGTTAAGAGGATAGTAATGATCAGAGTGTGAGGCGAACCGTCGTTGAAGGCTGAATAATACATACTCACGCGTCATATGCAGGCATGCGGCATTTGTCGTAACAGTCATTGTTTTCATCAAATGGGCGCTATTTCATTGAGATGTAGGCGGCGGGAATTTATTCAAACCACATAGCAGAAGATCTGAACATTTTTACTCTGACCATTGATGTTTAAATTGGACAACAGTACGTCTGTGCCTGTAAATTCATTCTATTTATTTCAACCGACCTTTCATTAGGAACCTTGCAAACACGGCGAACCTCAATGACGTTTTCACTTAATTTTTCAAAACAGAGCTCAAGGCCACACACGGATTTATATCTAGAAATCTGAAATCATCGATAAGTAGATCTATGAAGCTAGACTCTCCACATAATAAGATGCTGAAAATGTCTAAAATTTAATGTGAAAATCGGGTCTGAAGACAGCCAAGGACCTCACAAGTTTTTTCTGAACTCGGATACAACACAAAATGTGTTTTGTGTCCGTGTTTTGACAAAAGAAACGTGGTACGAATAGCAAGACGCTGTTCCGTGGAATATTGACGTTACAATCTCATATATATTTAATAAGATAACGACGCGTACGGAGCAGTCACGGGACATACTGGACATCATACGGGGTCGTAATACCGACAGATAATGACCAACACTTGAGATTCGACGGTTCAGGCCTATAGGTTTGAAGGATGCCGAACTTCTATGTCAAGACGAACAAGTCATACATTTGGGGCCTGGTAGACAATCCGCGACTGATAGCGCGACTGTTTGAAGAAGATGACGACATTTTGGACGAGCGGTTCGATGATAAGAGAGAATATAACACGGTAATACGAGGCTAGGTTACTTGGGTTTTATTAGGGTTTTATTGGTTTGATGCAATTCTTCACCGAACCCCGAAATCTGTTTTTCGTTTCTTTGTTTTTTATTAGAAGTAGCAGATATAGAATCGGAATATTTTCAAATGTTTCCACAGAGGAATTGATGGTTTGTATTGGTTTATTGCTTGTATTGGTTTATTGCTTGCAGTAGGCAAACATTGGGCCATCTGAAGGTGGCCTGTCGAAGTAATCATTTATATTCTATTTCTCCAAGATATCTGCTAAGGCATTTAGTCCCACGACTCCAGTCATTGATACAAAGTTATTTATTCTAATTCGAGAGACGAGTATTCCAAAAACAAACGAATATTTTTGCGTTTTCTTTTCATATATACTTTAAACAGGTTGCTATGAACAATGTCATCATGTATGGTGTTTGTTTACCCATCCGATCTAGAAAAGCACCATTGTTAACTCATAATAGTACCGAAAGGTAGCTTTCCCGGAGTGAAAATGCGCTATTATGACGTGTTTTTGCAAGGCATGTTGTTAAAATAGCAGAGACAGGGGTTAAATGGGATTTACGACTTTTGGTGTTGGTGCAATTGTTTTTCTAATTTGAAATGTTTTCTTTTATTCTAGAATGCGTTAAAGCCGAAACGTGATGGCAAAACGGTAGGTTGCATTTTTTCCCCTGTGTGTTTTATTTTTGCTTGTTTTCTTGTTTGTCTCTCCTTCCTCCTTTCTTTTTTTTTCTCTCTAATTTTCACACTTTGAATTATGCAGTATTTTCTTCAAGCCGCGTCATAATCAGATGCTTGCCCGACATCTTCATCTTGAGAAGCATAGGCTGGTATAGGATATATATCCATCGTATCTCTCATGCAATCTTAAAGACAACAGTTTCAGCAGCTTGGTGATTAACTTTTTGTGTGTCATCACTTCTTGCAGCCTCTCCAGCGTTTCCGGCGAGCAGCACGTATTGTGAAGATGTTATGTGCCGTGAACATTGCCCTGAGCCGCTACGCTCTGGACGCCGGCCTTGACCTCTCCGCCTTCCGTAGTAACTTCTCCACGCGGCGGAAAGTTCAGAGAGACGAGGACGGCGCTGAGGTCGTGGAGGAGCTGAACTTTGACCCGGACGAATTTAAGTCACATTACGAGGTAAGTTGTTGGTTTGTGTAGGGGGAAAAAGGCGTGTAAACTGATTTTACCTGCTGCGCTTCCAAGAAAGTCTGCAGGTCGGAGAATAAATCTTATTTTTCTGACATTTTGACGACTGAGGCCATTTCTGTGGCAAATGCTTTTTTCGGACAAACATCGGATTTCCAAAATTAAGGTTTATTTGCATTCCAAGTTTATATTATATTATATTGCACTGGAAGAAGAAAAAAAAAAGATCTGGCACTGAGCACATTTTTGACCAAGCCTCCCCCCTCCCCGTACGCTCCTGCCCCCTTGGTCCACATTGATCTTCTTACTTACTTAGGCCGCATTCAGAACAGAGGACTAACTAGTCCGCGGGTCAAATATGGCGATCCACCAAAAAGCTAGCCGTCTAATCCGCTAATAGACACTGAATAGTTTTCCTGTGGGATAGTATTCGAGTGGGTCGGCCATATTTGATCCTCGGACTAGTTAGTTCACTGTTCTGAATGCGGCCTTAGCGTACGATTTTTCTGTTTTCATTTATGGTCTAGTTTACGTGGCCCGAGAGCGCTCGGCTTATTCTGGAAAAGAAGCCCTGGGAAAGGACAGACGACGATATCTACCAGATCCTGCGATTGATGCGGACACTGTCGTCTTTCAGGAAGTACACCCATGAAATGCAGACGCTCATGGCGAAGACAGTGCGCTATGCCAAGTAAGTGGAAGTAACTTTGATTGTTCTCATTGCCATTCTAAAGAAAGAACATTTTACCAAATGGTTTGAGCAAAGAACGGTTCATCGAATCCATTGATGATGCTGGTATCGTATAGGATGTAGATTTGTCCACAAAATGTAGACACCTTTGACACCGTACTTGCAAACCACATACTACTCATTTACAGATATGGAAGACACCGCGTCATCCTTCGAAAGGGTCACATTGGATTCTCCTTCTACTTTATCTTCTCCGGAAGTGCCAGCGTCACCTTGGAACAGGCGGGCACCAGTATCTTCTCCAGACCCGTCGTCATACGCATGCAGAAAGGGGACTGCTTTGGGGTATGTGGGCGTACTTTTTGGCCGCGATATTTGATGTATTTTACTAGCTCTAATGCAATAGTTAATTCACAAAGACAGTGCCTTCTGATGCTTTTGGTCACGGTTCGGTGCGAAATAAAAAAAAAACTGTCTGCGTTTTCAGCGTCATGCTGACTGTCACACTCACAAGAGTTGTTCAAAGTTCTTACTACGTGTAGATAACGAAAAACGTATTTCTGTAAGTCCAAAACACACTGTGATCTACCTGCTGATCTACCGGTCACTCTAGGCCGACTGTTCAGCACTTTCTGGTGGCGTTTCTTTATCCTCAAGGCCATTGGAACAATACCGCTCCTCTATTCTTACTTTAAAGAAGGTACTCTGATTATTCACCAGCCCTTAATACATAGCATAGTATTACACTACACATACGAAGCCATGCTATGTGACCGTGGCCATACGCGCTTTATTCGGTTTTAGCGATGCTTTTCGGTGAAATGCCAGTACTTTCTCACGGTATGTATGCCAAATTATACACTGCCACCCTTTTCCAGGGAGGCAGATATTATAGGCACATTTTCCACCAGCCACAGTTAGAAGTTTGACCACATTTAGCCAGAGACATTATCTGTAAATATCTAGTGGAAACTCTATCTGTGCCTCTGGTAGAGGGTACTCTTGAGAAATATGTCTTGAACGTCTATCGCTAGTGTTGGAGATGCTCTGGCACACATCGCTCGGGTGACAGTGTATTGTCTCACATAAAGCCTGATGTATAAGACTGGATTCCCATACTTAGATCGATCCATCTGGATCGACCTAACTGCCTGGGGGTCCACACTAAATTGCTATCAACTCAAGAGGCTTAAATGTCTGTCACGCCTACCGAATCAGCTAGGAGTAAAGATAATTACCCCCTAACAGTTTAACTAGGCGTGACATACGTTTAAGCCGTTTAGTTTGATAGCAATTTAGTGAGACTCCCCAGGGAGATAGATCGATACAAATTTCTGTGGTAATGGTCACTAAATCTCTTCAGGAAAAGGCCTTAGTGAAGGACGTGCCCCGCCTGGCCACGGTGGTCGTAGAGGAGGACATCGAGTGTATTGTGCTGGACAAGGGCGAGTTCATAGAACACGGACTGCTGGAACACATGGAGAAAGAGATGGCCATCACCGCGGACTTTCTCAAGTGAGTGGTATTGGAATGTCCGTTCATGATTAGTTATAGATAGGGTAAGAGCGACGCGGGGTGGGGTGGGGGTGGTATAAGACATGTGTAGGGAGAAGAAGAGAAATGGCGGAAAGGGTTTAGAATTTAAATCTGTTCAGAGAGAGAGAGCAGATATCTCTTTTATTTTGTTATCTCAATTTTCAAATCCAGGAATTCGGAGCTGTTTACCGGGTGGAAGCCGTGTGCGGTGGAGGAGTTGAGTCAGTACTGTATGGTGGTAGAGCACTTACACGACAGAGTGGTCGTCAAGGACGCACGGGAGAACGAGTTCCTTCTCTTCGTGACGAAGGTAGACTAGTCTTCTCACTCTCAAGATCGTTACCATTTACGCATTACGTGAAAAACAAACTCGAAACAAAACAAAAGCATATGCGTGGACGCGTTGTTACTTTTTACAACGTCAGTGACACGCGTGAGCGCGCGCACACACACACACACAAATGCACGCTAGCAAGCACGTGTTTAGCAAGAAGTTCACTGTGAGGTCCTGTTGGTTACTTATTACTTAAATAGTAAACACATTTGGAAGAGGTACCAATGAATTCTATTATATTCATCATTTATTTTAAAGAAAGTCCAGTATTCTTTTGTTGCCTGTAAACGTCACCCTCCTCGTTATTGCAGGGAAGCTGTGACGTCCTGAAGCTGGTAGATCTGGCCAGGTGCAGGCAGTTCCAGAAGTTGGTCTACGGGAACGCCATGCCGCTGCAAGAGACGCCAGTGACGTTGGTCTCCACTCCCTCTGAACCTACCATGTACGACATCCTGCTGGAGACGCCGACAGCGTCCGGGATTTACATTCCTACTAGTAAGTATCAAAGTGGTTTGACAAATGCAAAATAAATGTAGCCAGCAATTTCCAAAGGGGTTCTTTTTTCGAAAAAGTGAACCTTTTCCATGAGATCCTCATGTACCGAGATAAAATTTTACCAAAGAGGGGAACCTGTTCGAAAGAACCTGTTGATTTATAATTCTTTAACCCTTCTAATGTATTGCATCATCTCACTGTCCTACAATATAATTCGCACGCATTTTGCACTTTGCGCATTTCGTTAAAGGATTCCTTTCGATATGACAGCCCAAAGGTACATTAGTCCGAAGGTTCACTGGCTCGAAGCTTTTTGCACTTGTCGAAAGGTTCTCTGACCAAAATAAACCTTAGTTACGATTTACCGTATTCATTTTCAGTTCAACAGCCAAATGAATCGCACACCAGTTTGAGGTCACGTGGCTCTCTGACGTCAGCATCGCTGACCACGCCGTCTCTCATGAAGCGCCCTCACCCCACCAGCCTATCAGACCGTCCTCAGCTGTGCTTGCTGCCGAGGTTGTCGGAGTGCAAGGATCTCAGCCAGCACTCCGGACTACGTCCGCCTCCAGAGACGAGCTCAGCGTCCCGATCTGTGAGACACCTAGCGGCACAGGAGAGCCAAAGGTGAGGTGGTGCTAAGCAAAGGTTCCTGAAAAGGTCAGACGCGGAGTACTCGCCCTTCTTGTGAGCATGCGTTCGACGACATTCGGAGTGATTGAGTTAAGCAAGACTCTTTCTTCAAGTCAGAACGCGCTTGTCGTCAATCTATGTGTCTGGGTTCTTACGGTAAGGCATCCTGTATGTGGGCATGGTTTTACCCTCAATGTGGGTGACTGTCCGAGTCCGAAAAGATGCAGGCTTACGAGGCGTTTTCTGTTTAAAATCTGGTCAATATGCGCGTAACTAGAACCAGAAGTAAGCGATAAATACCTGTTCTCAATGAGTCGAAGTAAACTGTTTCATTCAGTAATCATACATTCAAGCTTATGTCATTTATAGATTTATTTTAAAAAAGATTTATATTAAAATACGGCAGAAAATATTGAAATTACCATATTTCAAGGTTTATTGCGGCAGTATGAATAATTATGGCCATTTTCATTGCCAGGGACAGCGGGTTTACCAGCGCACCGCCTGGCGTGTTCCTGCGGGTGGACACACTCAAACCCGGAGACTACTTTGTAAGTATCGTACAGACATACAGTGTAATTATTTCACTGTGGGTGTTTGAGGTAGAGGACTGATAGTGATTAAGTGCCAGTACATATGCTTTAGTTGTCGCTGTAAAGTCCCCCCCTCCCCCCGTTAGTCGTTGCACATCATTTGACGGCATTACCCGCATGGCATCATGATCACTCAACTCACACACTTACAAATATGACATCTTTTCATCTGTTTCAGATGATTTTAGGTTTTGGATATTTTGTCGCAAAATAACCGAAAAAAAAGAGACCAATCACAATTAATTTGTTTAATTATCATGGAATTGTTTGTGCTTATAGTTTTTTTTTGTGCAACCCAGTAAGGCAGTTTATTGTTTCATTTTTTAGGGTCTCGAGTCTCTGACGAAGCCCACGTGTCACGTGTCAGTGGTCAGTAAAGGGACAACGGTCATTTTAGTTCCAAAGACAAAATTCCTAGAACTGGCCAACCCAAAAACTCTACAGAAACTCCAGAAAATCGAACACGTGTATCCGAGCGACGACGAGCTCTGTCGGAAATTTCTGGCCATAAATGAGTGGCAGAACTACAAGCACAAGCTCATGATATACCTGCTACAACAGATGCATCGGGCGAAGACTCGAAATTTGATGCGCGAGACGACGCCGGACTTGACCGAATCCAGTGTTGGCGAGACGATAACCACGACCCCTTGGGCAGAAGGATCAGGTAAGGCGTGACGTCATCAGATGGTTCGGTGACGTCACTAAGAGAGGGATATCGTCAGCACAGACGTGGGCTCGCCTCAGTGAATTTAGAAAGTATAAAACTTGTTCTCAACAGTTACATTTTTTTGTCGGTGTTATCGTGCTTATCAGAATTGATGATATCTACGGTTATCAACATATGCAACTGCACAGTGTTCCTGACGTCTTTATATGCGCATGTTGAATATACGTTTACAAGAATAAGCACACATGCGCTCGTTTTATTTCTAAATGTTTTCCCTAGTATCACAATTTCATTTATTTTCAAGATCTTAACATAATTCAATTTTTCTAATTTTTTCCCCAAAACATTTTCATTGGCTGCTTTACAATTCTACGTATAAGTATCGACAGCAGTTTTGAAATATTGCCCTTAAAAACTTTCCCCAGTTTGTGCACACGACTAAATACTCACTATCAGGGCTAATAAAATTATCAAACTAAAGGGCAAAGTTGAAACGTCTGCATACGGTTTACAACTGAATGTCTCGTCCATTCAAGGATTGCTCCAGCTTTTTTTTTTATTACATTGCAAACAGCGGCTGTTTTGAAGCAACTGACACTTAGACATGACGCTTAATCAACAATTAACATGGAAATTACCGTTTTTTTTTGTCCATTTTAGGGCGAAGAATGTCAAGGTCTTCAGCGTGGTCCAGGAACTCTGACGCCATCTCGACTCCGACATCAGATAAAAAACAGTACAGCAGGTTAACTACGCCGGCACCCAGGCTTCACAGACACTCAAAATCTGCAGGTGGTACGCTGCAGAGTTTAAGATCACAAGGTCAAGGTGAAGGTCAGATGCGACCTCCTTCCAAAAGTAGGGCCAAAACATGTGGTTTGTACAGGGTAGAGAAGAGTAACGTGTTTGCCCAAGGGAGCGAAGATAAACTGCAGCTAATTAATAAGATACATGTGCCTCTCAACATGAAGCGTTTGGCAAAGAGTGCCAGGTGAGGCAGACCTATGACGTCATGGTTTATGAGTGACGTCATTTAATATTTAAGTGACTGACGTCATAGTGTCTATGTACGTATGGCTTGCGAAATTAGAAATTTGACCTGATCACAATCAAGTCATACAAACCGGCATGTGGTACTGAATGACGAAAGTTACAAATTGTGGTCAGTATGTGCATATATGTACAATCTGATGTCAGTATGGCGTGAGGAAAACTGAAAATAGATGATACAATAAAACTATTTTAACACATCTTTACAGTTGTTGCGCTACTTCGAGATTATGTTTCCAAAGTCATTTCTGATGCATGAAAAAAGTCAGCCTCAACAAATTCAACAAAAAATAATATGCAGATAAGATTTGTGTACCATACAACTTAAAACATAAAAAGTTAATACAGAAGCACAGAGGCGTTTAAAACCTTGTCGTCAGTTAGACTTATGCTCTCTAATCGATGTCGAACGTATGTAAAACGTCTGTAAAATGAATTTACTAGAACAAATTTGCAAGAATATTTACATCAATGGTAAGGGGTGACTGGAAATTTTACCTAAATCATCTAATCAAAATTTCTCAAATTGAATTTATTTTTTAAAACCAAGTCTAACTTAGTTCAACATGGAGCGAAGGTATAGATATAGCCGATAGGGGGTGTGCGTGTCGTAGCGTAGCCCGAGATTCCAGTCACTCGAGTGTACAAAAGCTCATTAGTGTATAAGGATAGAAACCATCACTGGATATCTAAACTCAGGCGAGAACCCAAATTGATTGGAATCCATCCACAAAATTTAGCTGTGCACGTTATCTTCTAGCGACAGTCTAACTGTCTGTACATGTACATGTATATCTTTAGTATGAAAACACAAAAAAACATGGCACGAGATCACGTATGCGTCCTTATCCCAAGTTGCAAACCCACTTGGTATAATCTCACTTGAAAGCAGACAATATCGCCATGAATTCCCATCTGCCATGTAATTGGATTACGAAACGATTGCATGGTGTCTGCTTCCTGATTTCAAAGCCAAAGCGGTTTAAAGTTAGTGAAAATTCACTCTCCGTTCTGGGTGATTCGTCATCAATTCTGTGAAGAAGAGCAGCAGCCATATTGATTTGTTCACACATTAAAGCATGCAGATGAAGTATGGGATATACAGATTTCTTTAAGGTTATATACAGATGCATGAGGAGCAGATGCTGAGAAGACTAATTCTCATCAGAGGAAACGCTAAGGGGTATTTTGTCATGTGTGGGACAGATTGCTGCAGCATTGTTGTATAAATATCTCAGGATTTTCGTGGAAGCAACTTTCAATGCTGCAGGTGTATCTGGTGACATATTTGTCGTCTCACTAAAAACTGTCCAAATCGCATAGAATATCACTTTATTTAATATGAATATCCGCCAGTCTCTCTCTCTCTCTCTCTCTCTCTCTCTCTCACCAATCTTCAAACATCTTTAAGTATATGGTATGCGGGTTTTTCTGCTTAAATATGAATAAATATAATGACAATATTAATGATAATAAAACTCACGATGCACGATTTAACATTAATATACAGTAATGTAAGAGCATGGATGCAATGTAAGACCAATCAAATGTAATACTAGAAAATTAATTCCTATTCACTTTCTTATCTCAACTAAAGAATGCCCATTTTTCAATTGTGCCTTTGAGACCGTTTGTGTTTTCAGCATTCATTTGTCGATTTATAAATGTAACATCCGATCAATAATGGCAGTTACCCATCTTGTGTGATATTGAGATAAAATATACCGTTTAATAGACCATCTGAATTGTTTAATACAGAAATCGTGGGCGAACGCAATAATGATAAAAATGGAAATTACCTTTTGTCAAAGGAGCGAGAAAGTGTGTCCAGACAAACTGACCCAAACCGGTCTGGGCTGCGCAAACAGACGACCGTTGTCACAAAAATGGTGGTTCTATGAATGGAAGTCCAAGGTCCAATATTATATGGTTATTGCATACTTACTTTAACTGGAACAATGCATGTATATGGGACCAATGTCACCTGTACAAAGTAATGGGAAACAGACTACGGTGCTTATAGCCATCTGCCATTCCCGTTACTGTTAGGGGCGGCAAAACAGGTGTCTTCTTATGCGTATGTACTATTGCAGGAAGGGAAACCACGTATCCACTAACAAACATAAAGTGCATGGAGACTGATATGACATCTGGTTGCAGGAGCGTTATATGAAGATTAAAATATCATATATAATGTATATTTAAGCATATATATATATATACAAAATATCTACTTATTTCATTGCATTACTTATGTATTTTTTTGGTCTCAGTCTTTGTAAAATGTGCTAAAACTAATATAGATAATTATTAAGATTATTACATGGACGAAGAGGTTTTGTTAAAATAAAGATATTGCATTGTTGATTTATGGAAATGTGATCGCTCTGATTATGACAATTAAATGTAAACCGATTTTCTTTAAATGGTTCAGTTCCAACACGAACCTTGGCTAGCACCGGGGTTAAACTGCATGTATCACCATGGCAACGCAATTTAGAAGTGATGGTCCATTATCTGAGGAAATCACAACGCTAGGGGAGTCGCTGCCAATGCCGTCTCTTCATCTCGTACGCAGCTGAGAATCGGAAGCTCTCAACTCGTTTTAATCAGTTCACAAGGTTGATGTAATGAGATTAAGGCACCTTCTACAACCCACAGGGACAGCGGGAGAACTCGTTGCTTAGGTGTAAAGCGTCTGAGTCAGCAATTAAATTGGTCCCCACGGACGAAGGCAGGCCTATGCCATTAGCCGACTTCCGCTTCTAGTAGAGAATGCCAAGCAGCAGAAACTGCCGATTTTCTGCGCCATGATAATTCTTGACATGATTTGAGGCCCGTTCAAATTAGGAAGACTTTAGATGGACGTTGATAAAAATTAGGTCATCGGTAGACCGGATGTATTCAACGGGGAATTTGATGCCCAAGGCGTTACTTTGAAATCCTGTTCCATGCAAAGTAACTCTTTTACAACTAACACCTTGATATACCTGCTCATTCAACTTGGTCGTCAGATGACGGCTGTAAGGCCGATGTCCATTCCAAATCAATCTTTGTCTGAGCACACCATGAAAAGCGTGCAATCATATTGGGACCGATTTAAAGTGCTCACATTATCTACTGTGAGGTGGCCCGGTGAAATCACTTCGTGTTGTAAGTATGCAGTCAGTCTTAGTGAGAGGGTTTATATGAATTAGTCCCAACTGATACGAGTGCAATATAATTTGATTCTTTTTACACTCATCACGCGAGTGAACGCATCTGACCGTTTTAAACGAGTTAAGAGCGCAGCTAACTTTGAAAGACAATGCTCATTGTTTAAGACGCTCTTGGTAGTTGCTAGTTTATGGATGTAAAAGCAGCAGGGTTAACTGACTTAGACGAAATATATTCTCGACCTGAACATACTGTTACAGCAAAAATGGACACTGACAGCGGTGGTTCAGGAACATCCATTCTTTATTTTCTATATTGTCTGTCCAACTGACTAGTCTCAAAAACCTAGAGAACATATAGAAACGCAAACAAAACACAACATGAAAGCCAGTCATATTTAAATGGAATCTGCAGGATATCGAATGGAGATATTTTTTGGTCTAATGTTTTGTTAGCGTTCACAAATTTAAACATTACATAAATGGACGACACAACGTCGAGGGGGGGGGGGGTCATTTTGGTTTTCACACAGCTGTATGTCGTGAATTACATTGTAAATATGATAAATGCCTTTTTGCTGTTGTTGACACATTGGTTCAGATGCTATGTCACAGATTTTGGAGTCAAACATAAGATGTTACATTTCCTTTTCAGTTTAAACAGCATGATAATGCATTGTCTTAAAATAAATAAAATGAATATCTAATACACCCAAGTACACAAATTTGAATTAGGATATTTCAATAAAAGATATTTATATACGTGATAACAACAAGTTGTAAAATATGTGTGCTCGTTTATCAACTAAAATTGAACCTTTCAAGAAAACTAGCAAATTGTCATTGTCCAGAAATTTATCATCGCCCGTATGATGTAAACATGGTGGAAGAGCTTATAGCATTTTCTATAAATATATATAGTATAAGCATACCTCGGCTCAAAGCCATCTCCCCAAAGCGAGAGAACTGTCATTTCGTTACTGCAGTGGGACTAAGGCAATTATTCCAGCCAACAGTATGGTTTGCATGCAAGCTATTATAATGTTTAAATATCTCCATTGGATGATTTAACAGAGAGTGAATACTTCAAATACATAGTACTTGGGCAACACAATAGTACATAGTACTTGGTTCTCCTCACAGAGCGACCATATTTCAATTGAACTAGAAGTAATGTAGTTATCTACTCCAAGCACAATTATTTACATGGGTGATTTGGTTTTATTGATTAGAATCACGAATTACCAAAGTTCATAATAAGACAGATACACAAATTAATGTTTTCAGCATTGCTCGGGGCTGGCAGTTGGGATATTACTGTATAACTAAATATTCATACACTGAAATGCTTAAAACAAGCAGTACGGTTGAAAAATACCAATTTAAACAATACTTATCAATTCTTTGTCTGTATATTTGGCAAAAAATAAATAAATGGACAAAGCGATTCGTTGTCTGAGAAATTTTCAACTTGTTGTACTTATGTCTCAAAATTTTGTTCCAGGGTTTTTTCATGTAACAAAGATTTTACCAGGAGTGAAATCAAAATGACAACCTTTAAATAAGTGTAAAAGGTAACTCACAGCTATCGCCAAATATTACTATGAAGTCGTTGAAGACTCCCCGAAAATATGCCCAAATTATTCTTTCAATGGCCAATCCTTGCAATTATCTACCGCATGTGACAAGCGGTCCACAAATGTCTGATTATTGCTTGACTGTAATTACATTTGTCATCATCATTATGTACATTAGAGATGCGTTTGAATCGGACAAATTGTACTCAGTCACATCGGATAGACGAAAATCTGGCCATATAAATCTGGACACGTTATTTCTCAGTACAAAAATAAGACAAGTACGTAAAACAATGGGACGTCAATGTGCGAAAAAAGGTAATCTCCGTGTACCCAATGATTAAAGCAACCCTCTTCAAATACGGTTAAGCCCCAGTATCAGTGAACAAAATCTGACCATCTAAACCACAGCTCAGCAACCACTGGGCCATAAATTACACAGTCCCGCTCACTCACTC